TGATCTTGTTTGTAGCATCATCAACCAAATCTGAGCCAATCACCTTCCTCTCACCAGTTTCTGCCCAACATAAATGTGTCCTACATTTCCTTCCATAGAGTGCTTCATAAGGAGTCATTCCTATGCTGGCTTGAAAGCTATTATTATAAGCAAACTCTATTAAAGGAACATGTTTCCCAATCCTTAGAATTTTTGAATGAAATTAATAGGATAGCTTTAGAACGAAGTTTTAACGGTGGAAATGAAGTTTCGTTGAATTCTTTTGAGTTTTGGATTTTAGGGCAAATCTAGGGTTTCTCCAAAATGTTAGTTTTTGTGTAGAGACCTTTACATATATTGTTTCCAATGTCTTTAGGAGGCCTCTAAATTAAAGAAAATGAGATTTCGGAAAAGAAAAATATTTTCCTAATTTCCTAATTTTGCTAATCCGAAAATTAAGAGTATTAATCTTATAATTAGGAAAGAGAAGGGTTCTAACATGCTATTGGAATGCTATTAGAAGAAATTTGGTTTCCAACCTTAGGGATTTTTAGGTAAAAACTGAAATTTCCATAGGAATTTTTCTTAGTAGGTTTAAGGGAGAGTGTTAGGAGAGATCTTAATATGCAAGAGGCTTATGTTATGACTTTTGGATCCATAGGTTTCAAGAGGGAACATTGTTGACAAGTAAAGCTTTGCAAAGGAAAGGATAACTAAGCCTTGAGATATGAATCTCTTTTCCTATTATTTTATGTATCTTTATGTTTAAATTGATGCCTTATGTTTATTTTTATTGTTAAATTAATGATGCAAGTGTTTAAGTTCAACTACTTTAATGCACTTTAATGCATAGAATGTTCTTTCATGTACATGTACGTTCATGACCAAGCATATGAATATTTGAAAGTGTTTGATAATTATTATAAGTGATTGCATGTGTTTGTTTTGTTTCGGAGTACCAAATATGGTGCGAAAGCACAATATGGCCCTTTGGGGCAAAAGATGAGATTACTGGCCAAATAAAAAAAGATGATTGGTGTACCTGATCAGTACACCTCTGGTACTCTGTACGGTTGTATAAATTAGTATAAGCATAAACAATTATAAGCATACGCATAAGCATAAGTATAAGACATAAATTTTATGACATACGAGGCATATATGATGTACATGATGAAAAGGAGAATATGGCCTGTAAAGGCAAATTGACGACTTGATTAATTACATACACAAGACATGGCATACGTGACATAAAGCATAGAGAAAAATATGACATATGTAAAGCATATGAAATCTAGCATGAAATCCAAGCAGTTCAGAACTTTTCTTTATAACATGAAGGCATATGAAAACATAGGATAGAGTTTTTCCTACTTGAGCGTAGCTCATTCCTAGTTTTGGGAAACTTTTCAGGAGAAACCGCTGCGAGAGATGGCTGACCACCCAAGGTTCACTTACAGCCGTCGTACACCGGGTGACAGGTTCCACTTGTCTCTTTTGTTGTTTTGTTATAGTTTAGATTGTTTTGGGTGGCTGAATCATGTTGGTTAGATTTTTTTGCCACCTTTGTACATATATGTTATATGAAATGCTAGATTTATTTATATGATGAATAGAGACGCTTGTTTTCCTACGTGTTGAAGTTCTTACAGTTATACTTTATGTCTTTAAAAAGTTTTAGAAGTTATGGTTTATTTGCCTGTCCGATTTCCGTTCCCGCCTCGTCTATACAAGCTAACCGGGCCGGGTCGTGACACATCTTACAATTGCAAATATTTTTTTCTCTGTATAAAATGAAAAAGATTATCAAACTAAGTCAAATCAGCAGCTGAATATATCAAACTATATTATCAAGCAAAATTAAGTGGATAATGGAAGTCAGTATGAAGCATAATCGTGTAATAACAGACAAGAAATTCTTAATGACAATAACAGTCGGAAAGCCTGATTTTTTAAGAAAGAAAATCATGAATCACAAATTAACTAATTAATACATTGGAGAAAGCGAGAAAGATCAACCTCGCAATGTGAGCAATACATTTTTCAAAACCAGTTGGTATTGAACTTCTAAGATACAGATGAATTTGGATAAGAATGATAATAAACTTAATAGATTGAGCCGAAGTCAACATGTGATGCACACAAAAAAAAACTAAGGAATAAACACAAGTAACATTCTAACCATTAAATGATTGCTTGGAGCTTAATGAGCATAGAGAGAAAAGAGCAAGCATTTTTTTAGAGCTAAAATCAAGCTTCACCACTCCAGGGCACACTTCTTCTACACTAAATGCTTCAGGGTGAGGAAGATTCTTTCCTAAAGTGAACTTCAAATGGATTTTAATGATCTTGCATTTAACATGTGAAGTTAATAAGAAAAACTATAACAAAGAAGTAACCTACAGTGGTGTCCGATGCTTTCACAGCATGCTGTTCCAGCTTTGCAGGGTAATCGAGGTCTTCATCAGAAGGACGATAATTTGCTATCTGCTCGAGAGCATCAGCAAGAACAATAATTGAGAAGGAGAAAACAAAAATAATAATAATAATAACAAAAGAACAGATATTCAGCTGGTTTCAAGTTCTTCAACTATAACTAAGGGATGCATATTTGGATGATTTGGTCTAAGCAGCGATCAAACCAAGAAAATTAAACAGTTTGGTTTTCCAAACCACCGATTTAACCAATGTTCACGATTAATCAAACCGACCAAAATTTTTGGTTAAAGAAAATGTATCACTCAAACTTGTAGTCCCACATACAATTTAAATTTAGGAATAAAATCTCACATAAACTTCTATACAATTTAATTCTCTCACTATTTTCATCAACCCCTCAGACCCAACATTGAAAAAGCCTCAAGTACTAAATATGCCCTTTTTTCACTCATCTATATTTTAATTATGCAGATTAAATTAAAACTATAAATCATTTCAAACTAATTCCATTTTCAACCTAATATACAACTTCATGCATCCTATGTTAGAAACATATAAATAATGAGTTTCACTTTAAATAAGAATAAATTAAATTTATAAACCTGCCTAAATAATAATAATAAATTTATGAATTTGATTTTTCAAACACAATGAAGTAAAATAAATGATAGCATACAAAAGCTTTAGGAGTTGTTTGTTTTGAAGTAATTCGAGTGTGAAGTAAATAAAATTCAGGGAATTTGAATTTTCAAATGTTTATTTGAAAAAAAAAAACAAATACATGATAATATTTTGAAGTAATCAAAATTCTTTGTATAGTTCATTTTCAATACATATGGAATTCATCTTATTTGTCTGAATTCCAAATACATTGAAATGTGAAACTATGCCCACCACCACTGACACTTGCCAATAGAGCTACCAGCCAGCACCCTGCCCCATTGCTATCTAGTCGCCCCTCGGCTGCAACCATCAGGTTTTACATTGAATTAATTTTACTTCAAATAAACATAAAAAAATAATCTCCTATATTTTTAGTGTAATTAACTAAACAAGTCAAAAAAAACATTTTAAATACAAGTGCGTCTGGGGCATCCTTAATTTGCATTCTATTGAGAAGGTTTAAAGGATGCTACTATCACACTAAACAACATGATTGAATAATAACTGACTTTTCTATTCAAACAACCCCAAATAAATCAGTACTAAAGACTATCCATAAAATGGGAACAGTTGGGTTGGTTGAAGTAAAAGAGAGAAGTTTGCACACCCCTAATTACCATCAACATATTTCCAACTCTATGTTTCATTTAAGTGAATTCAATTGAATCCAGAAGGGAGCTTAATGAGCCTATAAACTGATATGTAGTGCATACCTCATCACGGATATGAGTTCGTGCACAAAATGTCAACCTTTCATGAACATCTGCTAGTATTCTTTGCAGGATAGGACGTAATGCTGCAAGTGACTCACCCCGTCTATTAAGTTGGTCTCCTAACACTTCAACTTTTAGGATGTCAACAAGCTCACAAAGAGAATCGAGATTTGCTTGATATATCACTTTAGGGCGCAGAGTATCATATAAATATGTGCACCTGTAGATTTTGGTAACATAAAAAAAAGGTAAGATAGTTGTAGATATATAGTAAAAGCATTGGCAGAAGTTGCTTAAGAGTTAACAACTTTAGCCTGTGAAACCTATTTGATTGCTGGTTTCTCTTTCTTAATTATTTAAGGAATTTAAATATTCATCTTATGATGTTTTGAGGCTTAAATCAATTAATTTTTTTGATCCCAGTCATATACATGTAGATACATTCCCAAAACAATTATGATTAGTACTATTAACATGCTAAAGTGAGTCAAAGCAAAGGAAAAGAAAAATCACATCAACATTCAAAAATCAATTTGACATTGTGTCATAATTATAGAGGTGACTTTCATGAAGGAAATTAAGAACAATCAAATATGATATTCATAGATTTTTCTTAACCTTGAAAAGACATATGAACTAGTGAAGCACCCTAAGGACTCTGGAAACAACAAGAAAAGAAAAACTTATTTGGATTGTATTGCTTGCGGCCATATAAATCATGGTTTAAAATTGCGCAATTAGAGGCGCGCCTCAAGGCGCGCCTTTGCGCAATTCAACCAAAAAACGCCTCGAGGCTTACGCAATTCTGGACCTGGATGAGGCGTACGCCTCACCTGGACTGAAGCGACGTGCATAGGTCCAGCATTAGGTATGCGATTTTTTTTATTTGGTCGGCTACCGTATACAGGTCAACATAGACGAAGCAGAGGTGCGTGAGGAACAAGTGAATTAGTCTCAATGATATGGCCAATAAATGACCATGGAGCTTGCAAGGGCAACAGGCTCTAGATCCTGAATGCATAATTGATCTGTTCAAAAAGTTTCATTCAACAACTAGGTAGGAGGGCAACATGAGCATTTGGATGAACCTCATATACCAGATATTTGATATTCTTCTTCATTACATAGGGCCCCAAACAATCTAGGAATTTATACCCAAAAATCTGACATGAAGATCAATAGTTGGGAATGCCTTCAAATTCAGCCATCAACCAATATGCTACAAATGAGGAACCAATCAACACCTCCTCAAACTGAGATATAAAATCCAATTCTATCAAAACACTGACCACAAAAGGCCTAGAAAGGCGAGCAGTAACAGCACCCATTTGCAAAGACTTTCCAAATATTGAAACCAAAGAATATAAAATAGATTGATTGATATAATATAGACGAAGTCGCAACAACGAGATATAAGCAAGAGGTAATATGAGGTTCCTCAAAGAATTCAAAATGGGGAGAAAATTTTAGCATATGCATAAAAAAAACAACTAGCATAATAGAATAAATGAAAAAAAAAAAAAAATCTAGCGTAGTCCAGTTCTAATGAGTAAACCATGTGATGATATGTTGAGGTTCAATAAGCCACATTGGAAAGTCACCTGTCAAATGAAGATCATACATGAATTTACGAATTACCACCAAGTTGGAACGGCCTATAGATAATTTGCCAACAATTGAGAATGAATGTGGCCTTACAAACACAAAGATTTCATCATCAAAGTAGCAAAGAGAAGGTTTGCCTTGGTAAGTGGGTGATCACTTATGTTGTAGAGCTTTAGTATCTTGGTGAAAGATAGGTGAAAAATGGTTAGATAGAGAGAAATGTGATGAAAGATAAGTGAAAGTGGTTAGACAGAGAAGACAGTCTGAACCATCCCTACCACCAACAACATTAACATAGGAACGAGGAGGATGTGCAATTGAAGACTAAGTTTCCAAAGGAGAAGAAACAAAGGGAGGAGCCACAAAGATAAGAGATGGATCATCCAAAACCCTGGGAGTAGCCAGGGTGGGAGAAGTTGAAATACAGTGAGAACCCTACCATAAAGGAGGAATGGAAATATAACGAAAATCTATGGTGGAACCTGGAGTGGTAGATGAAGCCTTGACCAAAGTCAAAGGGAGATAAGAACATTAACGAATATGAGAAAAAGAACTAAGTCCACAAAAGTGTAAAAAATATGCAAAAAGAGACTAGTCCTACGAGTTGCGGGGAGATCAAAGGCTCATCACAACCCATAATGCATGAGGGGAGAGACACCAATGCCATGAGGTGGTAGAATCAGCGACAAGAGGTGAGCGAGAAATGAGGCAAACTGGGCAACCTCAACTTGTTAGCTATCTAAATGGTGTGTCATGCTTTTCCATAGTTTGGGCATTAATTCTATTGTTAACACATTGTTTAAAATCGAGCAATATGAGGCTCACCTTGAGGCCAGCCTCAGTGCAATTCCAGTGAAAAACGCCTCTACGCCTCAAACTTTTTCTATAAGGCTTATGACTCGGCTTGGTTTTTAGGCCCGTCTTGAGGCGCACCTCGCATCCCTGGCATGAGGCTTACGCCTCACCCGATTTATATTTTTTTATTAAAATTTATCTAAATCCTAAACTAAAGCCCCGAAAAAAAAAGGGTTCGACGATGCTCGACGGGGTCTGAATTGATTTGTTTTGATTTAAATTAAATTAAATTGGATTTAATTTAATTCAATTGAGGCCCGATTAAAAGTAATTTTGCCTCGACAATGATCAATTGAATTAATCGAGCGCGATCGAGCTTTGTCGGGCTCGATCGGGGTCGAGTCGATGCGAAAATATTCGTCAACAAGCTCGACTATCTTTATCTCCATCCCGACATTTTCGCCACAGCCACCACCGTCGTAGATGCCATTAGGAATCACTTGAAAGCTGGATACCAACACCACCTCTAAATTTTTTTTAGTATTATCTTATATTTATGTTAATAAAAATATTTATGAAAGAGAAAGATGATTAAAGCAGATTGCGAGTCATTGGACTTCACAGGATAAGGCAGGGGAGAGACAAATTTGTCATGATGACGACTCAAATAAAGATTCCCTCAGTGATAGCAGTACAGATGTTTTCTAAGTTTTTGCTAACTATTTAAGCTTTCTTTATGAATTAAATGTGGATGAGTAGGGAACTAAGAAAGAACAAATTTATATTAGAGTTAAACTTGATGTTATATGATACTTTAATGCAATTCATGTATGTAATATTATTTTGCTCTTGTAATATTTAGATTTTAATCCTATTTCACGAAATTTATCATTTGCCACTATATGAATTGTGCAATTTTTGTTTCATATGTATGATAATTTGTTACTTCATAGTTCAATAGAAAGTTAATGTTATCCGCCTAACATATTATTTGGTTATTATATAAAAATTTAATTTTTAACATAACACAACTTTTTTAATTTTGAGGCTTACGCCTCAAAAAGCCTTTATCAATTAAACATGAACATAATTAGAAGAAATAGGCATAGCTAGAAGTTATGCAATGAAAATAAAAGTTAACATTCACAAGTTGCACTTAACATAATGAATAATGAATAGGTTAGTAGAAGATGGGCATCATTCCATCAAAAGAAAAAAATATGTTTCTTTCAATTCAAGGAAAAAATTAGTCTTATGATTGAAAAGTATTGAGAACTACACGTGGAGAAGGTGATTCCATAAAGCCTTAACAAAGATAACAAATGTAGTTTAATAACAATCTGACAGCTAAATGAACAAAGTATTTCATCTCATTTCAGGCAAAACTGAGAAAATCACAAGAACTGTCCAAATGGAAAGATAAATTCTCATGTTAAAATACGTAAAATAGAAAAGAAAGCACTTTGACACCAATACAAGGAACAAAAAAACTCACAGCGGATCTATTAGCGGGGCCATATTAGAGACATCTGTCGAAGAGGATGGAAAGAAATGGTCAAACAGTTGATGTTCAAGCTGGCAAACCTGGGAATAAAATAGATCAATTGATTTAAAAAGAATAAAATGAACAAGCGATTTAAACACTTCAATCCTAGATAAGATTAAGGCATGATGAATGATAGTTAAGAGTTTAGGACCATGCAATCTATGATAAGATGCAAAATGAAAAAAAAAAAAAAAAAAAAAAAAGTTACAATACATAAGTTAATAATTTGAAGTTTTGGAAAAAGGAAAATTCACTTCAATGTGAGAGCAAACATGCTTTATTCATTCCAAAATATAATTTAGCAATCGCACAAATCTAAAATTCTATAAGAAAAATAGTGGCTGTTGACAGTACTCATTACTCTGCAACGGCGCCGGATTCAGTCGCTTCTCACGCTCGTCTCGAATCTCCCCCATTGGCGTTAATAAAAGCAACAACGAAACAAAGACTTTGGGTTCTTCCATTGGCTACCCACACGAGAGCATCGGAACTCCACCCGACCTCTTCTTCTTGCTTCCACACACAGAAATCCCGCAAATCCACTGTAGGCCGACGAACCCCCTAGCCTTCTGCGATTGATCTCCCGTCACAGCTTTCGATTCCCCCTCTGCTTCCGACCTCAACTCAATCGAACATCTTGATTGAAGCCGAGAAAATCCTCTGCTCTAAACTGAAGCTTCCTCCTCAATCGGCCCATTCCTACTCCGATCCACCTCCACGCTTCATCCACCGAAACCCATAGCCAAATCTCCACGTTCTCTAAGCCGCAGCCCCTTCTCCCTTGTCCGACTCTAGCAGACGCGAGCAAGCCTTGCCCGTTCTACCAATCCACAGAGAGAGAGAGAGAGAGAGAGAGAGAGAGAGAGAGAGAGAGGTAGCATCCCCCTACCTAGCCGAACTCTCCAACACCGACATCTCCCAAGCCCAAGCACCGAACCACCTTGTCTTCCTTAAGCTGTCGCCAACCACTGCCCTAGACCTTGCTTTGTTCGACTTTGCTCCGTCTGATCTACCCATTTTCCCATCAAATAGCCGCCTCCCACACTACTCTGCCTTGACTCGACCTCTAGCATGCCCCAAACTCCTTGCCCGACATCTTCTAGCTGAATCCCTCAGGTAGTTAGGTTATATCTATATTAATATTATGTAATAATATATAATACTATTATTAGTATTACTTTATATTTATATATATATATATATATATATAGTCATGAAAAAAAAACAACAACAACAAGCCTTTGTCCCACTACGTGGGGTCAGCTACATGAATCCTTTTTCACCAAACCTCTACCTTTTTTAACATAAGTCAAATCTAATACCTTAACTTTCCTAACCGGGTCATTGGAAGGCCTCCGTTTAATGTGACCAAACCATCTAAGGCGATTCTTTCTAATCTTATCTTCCACTGGAGCTACTCCAACCTTTTCACGTATGTTGACCTCATTTTTGTATGAGGTCACCTTGTGCTACAATCATCCAAGCCTACAATCAATCTTGCAATCGACCTCTCTTCGACTCATTTTTTAATTTGATTCTCCTCAACGTTGCATGTCGATTGTGAATTTGAGCCGACCAATTCGTAGTCAATTTAAAGCTCCATGACTTTAATCTACTCAATTTAATGTCTCTCGAGTCAAATCAATTTTGATTATTACAAACTAGCTTGGCCCATTTAAATCAAAATGTTCCATCATTAATTTGGTTTTATATAATTCCACCCTCATTCTCTAATTTAACTCTTAAAATCTCTTTGATTTTAGCATTTGATATTAACCATCCGATCATCTTTTGAAGGGATGATGGTCTCTTGATTTTTATAATAGCATTAGGGAGTTGGTTTTTGAGAGGATTCCACGATCAATCCATTCCCACAAGCAGCCGCCCCTGTGGAGGATGGAGAGACTTCCTTCTACATTTTTCGGAGCTGCTAGGGCCGGCCGAGCTCTCACACACACGATACCCCCTCTCATTCCAACGATCCCCTTTCTCATTCCCACGATTTTCTCTCTCACCCATCCTAAGAGCTGCTAGGGCCGACCAAGCTTGATCTCAGCATTGACGAGGAGGAAACTGCTTGAGATGTAGATCCTGATACACAAGCGCTTGAAGATGATGCTAAGAGAATGCTTCAAGCTGGATTGCAGAGTGATGTGTTGCTTGGTGATCTGTTAGGTGCTGAAGGTGAGAAGACCACTACTATCATTTATACTTCCTCATTCGGCCAAGGAGATTACCAAGCTCTCGCCAACAGCAAGCCTCATACTCTCTCCATTCAACCGATCCATATGCAAGGAAAGGGGGATAGCAGTTTAGGAAAGTTGATTCAAGAGAAGAAGTCGAGCTGCTCGAGTAGGAGATCGTGAGGTACAATCAATTAGAGAAGAGACACTATCCCATGATGACCTTGCCTCAATTGATTTGTCTGATCCATCATCTGAGAAATTGAATGTTCCATTGAGTCCAAAGTGGATGGACGTTTCAAAGCAATGATCATTCCAGCTTCAAGGGAAGAAGGAATCTTAATTAAGAAGAGATATACAATTTTTTTTGTTTTGTTTTAATCATGATAGAAGCCAACAGAATGCAGAAAGGTATACAACTCTTCAAAAGTTAGTTTCATGGTTGTATTATATGTATATGTCTACAAGTAATTTAATCAATAGATCATTTATAATTTATTTTCCCCGTTGTCATTGGAGAAACTTCTATCAACCCATGGATGTAAATGTTTCTAGGATTCTAATAAGTTTGTATATAAACTTTTCGAATTCGGTAATATAAATATTCTTTTATGACTATTTGTCGTTAATATTCTGTATATTGCTAACACGTTATTGTAAGAGGTTGTTTGAAGTCATAAATCATGTCAATTAGTAATGATTTCCTATTAGCTATTGTAACAGTTATTTAAACCTTTTAAACTAGATACATATTTTCTTACATTCATTGTTATTTTTTTTATTTGGTAGGAGTAAAGTGTTATCTCTACCTTAATATTGTTATTATTATAGATCTGACTTTATCAAATAATATCATGATTTATGTTACCATTGATTCAAGACGAGTTTGGAGAATTCTTTATTAGCTCCCATGAATGCTTCCCTTTTGTATATAAATATACAAGTTGGTTTGTTATTATGAGATTCCTGTATCTTGATAGCAGGGAAGATAGATAAGTATATGTACATACGAAGAGACAATGAAGTATACATTTTTTTTAATACACATTCTGGATGGATTTGTCACTTTTGTTTGCTTAAAATTTTCACACATTTTTGGATGGATTTCCTATTATTTTTGTAATATAAATTCCTTCTTTTTTTTGTAAGTAATATTTTCTCAATTGCTTGTTCTCGTGTGAGATTAGATGTTGATAATGGCTGAAGAGAGAGAAATATGCCTCATTTTGTGATACTTTCTCACTCTTTTTGTAAATATAAGTAAGGATATTTTTGCCATGTAAATGTGCCTTGCTTAGACGAGATTTTCTCATTATTTTGTAAAGATTAGTATAGAAATTTTTGTAAGAAATATGTCTTGTTCTATAATCTTTCTATGTTTCTTTATTTTATTTTATTTATACAAATATAAATATAGGGATCTTTTTCATGTGAACATGCTTTACTTAAATCATATTTTCTTTTTGCTTTATGAAGAATCAATGTATACTTTTATGATACAGATCCCGTTGTGTAAATTTAGCTCTTAGCTATATTATTTGAGTGGTTAAGCTAATTTATATAGAAGTCCATATACTTCTCCAAAGCTTTCAATTATTTACATTTATTTGGGTTGGATGATGATTATTATGCTCATCAAAATGTTTATAAGTCTATAACTGTGATACTTTGCCCATATTTTTACTTTCATATGATACCCATATGTATAATTTTATAAATCATCCTATACATGTACTTCTCTCAACTAAATTTGTAAATAAAAAATTCTATTAATATAAGCAAGTTTATTATTGCATTCGACATTATTTTCATTAGTAAAACTATTATGATTATTTATTTGTTATTACGAGTTGGGTTTTAAATAAAGTTGAGATAATTGTAGAAATCTCATTTCATATACTCATGTTATAAATAATTGCAATGAAAATTTGTAAATAAAGAGGTTGTCTCCTACAACTTCACTTACTTCATGTTTCAGTCATACTACAGTCATGAGAGTTAGAGGTCTTGATTTGTTTTATTGATATGATTTCTCGATATGATTATTGTTGCAAAATTATAAATATCTAATTGTCCATTCACATTCTTTTATGATCAGACTTTGAAAAATTCATTTTTTATATGTATATAAGGTATCATTATATCATGCACATAGGCCATAAGATTTTGTCAATATATATATCATATCCATTTCTTTCATTACGCCACATATTTACTTTGATAGTCACTTATGCTTATTATTGATATAATTTCTTACACATGCTCACCTTTTCATATGCTTTAGATAAATTTTAAAATTTACAAATCTTAATAATTTTAAATTGATTCTTGTCTAATTATACTTCTGCTTGAATAGTGCCTACTCTCATTTCTACCTCTTTCTCTCTTTACCTTTTGCTTGCGAGGTATATTGGAGCTACTCGGACAACAATTTAGAGAATATTTAGTCGCCTTCATTTCTTCCAAATGGGGGTGCTACGGGCGGAACCACCGGGTCATAGCCCCCGGTGTAGTAAGTTCTTCTTATACACATCTTTTCTATCACTCTTAAATTCAAAAATCTAATTTCAACATGGAGATTTATAATCTAAAGCTTATACATTGAAATTTTCATAACCCAAGCATTCTATTAAATTTACATGTTTCTTTTAAAATTCTTTAGCCTTCACTTTAATCGAGAGTATTCTCTTAGAAGATGTAATTAACTATAGGGGCTTGCCCCTATAGGGAGTCTAGATCCCATATTAAAATAAACCATACCTTAGTTCCTTTCTATAGTAGGGGGAAAATCTGTGAACGCAGATATCGCTTTATCTATATTTAAAATTTAATTTCATAATCAAAGGATAGGTGGA